TCAATCATCCAAAGCAATGGACAGTGCCGCAAGAGAGAGAGGTTAAGAGAATGCAGGCAAGGTGGAGGGGGTCCTTTGAAGTATAGTTTGAAGAGGGTGGCACTGATATAAGGAGACAGAGCAGAAATGCCAAGATATTCACTGGGAGTGAACAAAATTAGGAATGAGTACATCACAGGGACAGCAGTGGTTGAGCCCTTTGGTGACAAAATTAGAGACAAGGCTGAAAAAAATGCTAAAATCAACACAAAAAAACCCCGAAACATATTTCAAACACATTCACTTTAGAAATTAATAGAAACCAAATTGATAAAAAAAACAACATAAAACTCGTAATGGAAAACTAAAATAACAAAAGCATCAAACATATTTGACGTTATTTATTTTAGCACAGTAGACCTTAGTGTTGGACATCCTCTTCTAACCCATAGAGATTGAAAATGTGACATCATTCAGAGGTAAAACTGCTAAGGATTCTGGGAACGAGTGGCAAGCGGTACTAGCGCACGCAGGCTTTCACATGAAAACAGTCAGTCACACAACGATAAAAAGAAACACAAATAATGGCAAGAAGCTGTTGTATTATTAACTGCAGTAACCGGTCGCATGACAACCATGGGAGGCCTACGGGTAAAGAGATCGGTTATTATCGGATTACGTCGTGGAGGAGAAATTGTTTAAGCCGTGTTTCCGAAGTAACAAAGAGCCGACGGATGGCCTGGATTGCAGCCATTCCAAGACCAAATATAACGTTCCCGAACACTCCAGCTTACATGTTAGTCTGCTCCAAGCATTTCCACCCTATGCTGCATTCACTGTGGCTTTGCGGGATAATGTTTGTTGTGTTTTGTAGGAAAACCAACCTACAAAATGCTGGAATGCGATCCAGACTGGGCACCCTCTATCAACCTGGGTCATACCGAGTGTAAAGCTGCTACCACAGCGAGATTTGATCGGTTAAGAGAGAGAGCGATATCAAAACAAATATAGTATGCAAAAAAATATGCGAAAAGTCCCGCATATATGTGCCCAGGTGTTGTATTGAAGCAATCAAGTGATGAATAACTGTTTTCCAGTATGTTGTTTTGCAATGTTTTTTTTTTTTGCATTGTTGATTTGTTTTTTTACTGAAGCAGCTTAAAAAGCATAATGGAATACAATTTTGCCTCTTTCTTGCAAGATTGTATAATAGAAAGAAACAATAATGCCAGTTATAAATAAAGACAATAAATTGAATCAATTACGAAACACTCAAATTTTTTTCTATTAGATCTGAAAATGTTGTGTAATACTACAACCTGAAACGATAAATAGATTGCGTTGGCCTGTACATGAGATAAAGGGAAAAAAATTAACAACAGCTGTGAAATGGAATAGTCCAAATCACCAAAGTAAACTGGACCTGGGCTTGTTGCAGGGATCTTAAGTTACTAAACATTTTGTGAGTGTATGCACTAAAACTTAGGACCATATAATAATAAATATGTGCGTGATGAAAGTTGGGCAGCACACTAACGTCCTTACTCCACTCTGTATGCTCGTATATGTCTAACCGTTTCACTCATTAGATTTTTTTCGTTGTCCTTTTTTGCCTTTTCCTCAAGTCTGTCTTTGTACAGACCTGCCGTGTTCTCCGTCGTTTTGTACATAACTGTTTTGGGGCAAATAAAATGCAAGTAGGCATTAAAACCGCAGAATTAATGATTACCGGTGCTGTAAATACTAGCGCTTGATGCAGTGTTTTGATTTTGTTGCCACGGGTACCCACAAAGCAATGCGCGAAAGTCACGTGGTCTGACGAAGACGAAACCACGTCGCTCGCCATGCGAATACTTCTCGCGAGAGTATGTTGCAGAAAAGGTCCAGAAAATGGAAGGCTGTGCTGTGGGTACTAGCTAGGTTGCCGAGCGACTCAAACCATAGCTGGAAAATATATAAATTACATCGAAGGTATGATTTCCGTGTCTGTGTACGGCCGTTCAGCATTTAATTTTGTAGTCGGTATCGCTAATGAGACGTAGCGCTGCTGCGTAGAGTATTTATTAACAGGTGATTTAGAAGCTTAAGTTTAGCTTTAGCTACGCTAGCTGCAGAGAACAATGTCGTCGCCACCACATAGAAGACGCCTCTCTTTTACCTTTATGGAATAACTTGTGAGTGTTTGCGGGGTTTCAGGGCAAGGACGTTTCGTTTGCGGTTTTACAACTGAATTAGGTGTGGCAGTTAAATTAGTACGTGCTGTGGTTTCATTTGGAGTACAGGAACATTATGGAGTTCCCAGCCACTCTTTGCTGAGTTTTTGCATAAACGTATCGCTCCTAGCAGGCCAGTTTTGCAATGTGAAGCATCAGTGAACACAGCAGCTGGTTGCACCGGGTAACATTAGCAGCAAGTAGAGCTCAGAAATTAACCACAGTGAAAATGAACTGTGAATTTCATCACCATAAACGTCTCTGCGAGTTGCATCTCATAAACTGTTAATGCAGACTTCAGCCGAGCTGAATTTTAAACTCAACATAGTAATTTGTCTACGAAGCAAAACAGGGACACAGCATGTGTTTACAGACGTGCAGTGCTGTGAAAAATGCAAACAT